TAAAACAACAATGGCATATGCACACAGTTTCTAATGGTTTATAGCAGCACAGTTTCTAATAGTTAAATCTTGTAAACAGCCCAAATGCCCATCAGTGCCTGATGGATTTATAAAGATGTTGGTTTTTTATACAATGGATTACTAGTCAGCCATAAGTAAAGTTAAACTTGAGACATTTATGACGGATACACCATAAGTACATGCTCTTAAATAAAATAATGTGGACACGCATATATAAATAATGCATTATTTTCTCTGGTATGGGAAAGTGAAAGTATAAATAATGGCCAAAATGTATAATAAATATTGTCAAGTAGGAAGAAATATTCAAATGGGGAGGAGAACTAGGTAGTGGAGAGGAGGAAAAGAAGTCAGGGAAAAGGAAAGAAATGGGAAAAGAAGGAGAAATTAGGAACAAAACTTTTATAAATAAGGAGAGGAAAAGCAGTTGAAGGGAGAGTACAGGAATGGGAAAAAAATGCAGTCAAGGTATACCATGTAAAGGTAGAAATTCCCTAACTTGACTATGATCATTATGTACATCTAAAACATACCAACAAACTTACTTTAAAAATTAAAAAAGAAAATTAAAAAAGAAAAATAATCCTCTTCCATCAAGAGGGGTAATCTAATTTTTCTTGCTTTGGAGTTCCCTTATAATTGATTTGGAACTGTTCTAATGTGGCAAAAGTGGCAACACTGTGTATGATTTCCAAGAATACTTTGGAAAAGACCACATAGTTTGAATTTCTTGAAACACTCCCTCTGGAGGGAGCCTGCTGACCCAGACAGACTCTCTGGAGACAGTCCTGCTGCAGAGGCTCTATCTAGATGAACAGCACCAATAGACAGCTCTAACATTGCTCATTACTCACAGACTGTGGGCACAGCCGGCTGTGAAAGAGAGCCAGCTTGGCTTTGCAGCACAGTTGATCCTTCTCCCATCTACAACTATAGGCAAAATTTTAGTGCATGTATATTAGAGAATCCATGTGACAGCCATTCAGCTAAGCCTTACTTAATTTCCTGATCCATACATGAATGAGCTAAAGAAAATGTTTGTTTTATGACACGTTTGGGAATAATTTATTACACAACAAGAAAAATTGAAAATAAATTTCAGCTAATGGGTTGGATGGGTATGAAAGTGTGATCAGCAAAATGATTGTTGGGAAATAACCACTTTTCATATGCTTTAATATTTACTCTTTGAGAAGAAAACTCTTCTAACATACCACTCTTGGACTCTTAAGCTCCCGTACTTGCCTCGTCGTGTAAGAATTAAAGGGAAATCTGATTGGTTCTGTCGAGATGCAAATTGGATGCATTTTCCTTTAGCATATTTTTATCTCTTTTCAGAAATGACCTTCTCACAGAGGCCACTGATTCTCCCTTATCATCTCATGTGATATCTTTAATATTTCTGTTCCCACTATAAGGACTGTGTTCGGTACAGTTATCTGATTCTTGTGTTAAGTATAAGAACGTTCATTCATTATTTATGAATTTGTTCAAATGAAGAATAGATTTAAGTCATTTTGTACTGATTTCCATTTACTTATTTAATCTTTTATGAAGACTAATTGTGAAATAACACAAGATAATGATACTATTGAGAGGCCCCTTTAAAAATCTACAAAGATGGGCATATTCACTAAGGATACTGACAAGTTATTGGACTACATTATTGCTTTGAAGTCCATGACATTAAAGATACTTCTCCATTTATAATCCACACACTTTTTGTTTCATCAGAGATAGCATATTCAATCAACATGGTAGCATTTATTAGTGCTGCACTTTTCAAACCAGTATCAGGAGCTCCAAAAATATCTAAGATTATTTTCTGTTAAAGAATTAGCTATAGAACTTCATCTTCAGCTAAATACTAGGAATTATTTTCAACAGTATAAGGTGGAGTACATATGACCACAAGTGATGGAATTATTAAAAATGCATTCTAAATTCTTGAGCTAAGTTTGGGATTAGGAATATAGAATCTTCAAAACTGAAGGATTTTTTAGTAATTATTATAAGAAATATGATTTAACATCATGTTTTATGATAAGTCTGATAGGATCACAGTATAATCTGCAATAGGTGATATTCAATCAGGTGTTAGGCGTCATATGTTAGGGAGTCTATAAGCAATCAGAATTTCCTGAGTATTTCTAAAGTACAGTTCATAGGAACGAGATGAACTGTACTTTAGAAACTGTGTAACATGACAAAGGTAAAAAAAAAGTTCTCTATACTTATGCTAAACATATTGACATACATTTTATATAGTATTCTTCATGTTCCTTATAATAATATAGGAAATAAAAATTACTGTCAGCATTTTAAAAGTGAGGAATCTCATATTAAACAATTCAATAATTTTTATTCAAGCTGAATCATCATCACAAATGGTAAAGCTGAAATTGAAAACTACTTTTGCCTTTCTTGTGGCTCATTTCAAATATACATTTTTTAAGTTTTTCTCTGCTGAAAAGAAATATTAGAAGAAAAAAGACTCATTGGTAAGGAATGAATCCTGAAACATATTTTGATAATGTCCATAATAGAAAACCAATAGTCAGTTTGTTACTTGTGTACAGGAATGCCATTGATTGTCTCAGATGTCCATTTTTGGATTAGATCTTTGAATTTTGGGAGCCTGATATTCTTTTTCAGTTCTTTATATGTTCTAGATAAAAGTCCTTTCTCAGAAGGACATTTGGCTAATATTTTCTTCCCAATACTTAAGTTTTCTTTAAATTTTGTTATTTATTTCCATTGATGTGCAAAAGCTTTTTAATAAGATAAGAACCCAGTTGTTGATTCCTTGAAGTATTTCCCTTGCAGTTTGGTTTTTGTTCATGAACTCCCGGCCTATCCCTATGTCTTCAAGATTTCCATCGACTTTCTTTTTCTCCAGTGATATGGAATTTTAAAACACATCTGGATGTCATGCTGTCTGAATCATATATAATTAACACTATGTTCCATGTTACCCCAGAAAGAATGGCTATTATCAAGAAATCAACCAATAACACATGCTGGAGGGCCTGTGGAGAGAAAGGAACCCTTCTTCCCTGTTGGTAGGCATGTAGACTAGGGAAAATTATATGTATACACACACATACATACACAAGATAGTTAAGATAACTGTACTACTAATTTCTATTAGTTCAGTGAAGGGAACAGTTAGTGCTTATATTGTTTGAACAATTTTGTATGCCTGTAGCTTGTCATCTGAGCAACTATTTTGAAAATAACAACATGCAATATAATAACCATTGTTAATTTCTTATCACCTTGTTTTGAAATTCTTTATTTTTTTCATTGATTTTTTTTCTCTCTGTTTTAAAAAGAAAACCAGTAGTCTTAATTTCTTTATACAATGGATGAATTAAAAGGAAAATATTTTGGGGTTTCACAATTGATTTTGAAAAATAATCCAAGATAAACAGTTAAATATGAGTTAATAGATATGATCTTTAGCAAACAGAATCTAGAGGACTGCTTACACAGCTAGAACTTTCTGCATATGATTTGTTGTGTACCAAGAAATAGCTACTAGACTAAAATATTATTGCTTTGTAGTCCCATGACAACTTTTCACAGAAAATTAAGTGATTATTATATATATCTCATTCTCAGAACATATTATGAGAACACTAATTAAAAGCAGGATAAAAGTCAACTTACAACTTTTGAAATTATTTGTAAAAAAGGAAAATACTACAAAAATACAACAATAGGACTATAAAAAGTTACAAATTATATTGGCTAAAGCATGAAAATTACTGTTCTTGAGTGGTCTCATCCACAGAAATGTGGTCAAATGGAATATGTACACAATCTTCCAAATTTTTAGACATCTAATTTTACATTTACTACTTTTGTAAAAATTTAAATCTTTTCAGAATTGACAATTGAGCCAAAGCAATAGCTATAATTTTCAGACAAAAATATTAAAGCACACACTACAATAATTACTTCACTGGACAGAAGACTGTGGTTGTCATTCTCATTTCACAAATTTGAAGTTCTAATTTAATAATTACAAAATTGAAACATTGTAAGTATTACCCAAAGAGGAGAAAATAAGACAAAAAAGTGAGGATGCATTGTGCAGAGAAGAAAATGTTCTTTTTATGCCAGTTTATAAGATTGGTAAGTTTTAAATATATCATGATAAATTGAAAGAATTAAAAAAATGTATTATAGAGAAAATTTCAAGTCTTCCTTCAATTGGTTTAGTAGGGTCAATTAGTTCTGAGATATGTATATATTTTAGAAAGCAGACATTTTGTGGAAATTAATTTAGATGAAAAATTTTAGTGCTGAGTGAAGTCATCTGAAAGGTTAATTTTATATTTACAAATGTGAAATGTATGTCACACCATGTCATTACATAAGTATCTCCTTCTCTCTCTTTTTTTATGCATATTTGCAGTTGAAATGTAATACAAATCCATGTAATATAGTAAACTTATGGTCATGTTCAATTGATTTCTAGGTAACTTGGAAGTATTCCGGTGAAATTTTGCCAAAATGCTTTACTTGGTTGTACTTATATTTGTTTTTAGATTCTAAATTTTATTAAAGCAGAAATTTATTTTTCAAATGCATGAAAACATTTAAACATATTAAAGGGTTCAATATAGCCAGAATTTTAAAATTTTGAATTATTTTTCTGTACAGATCAAAGTTGGAATTTTAAAAGTGTAATAACATCTTTCAAAGATTCAATATACACTAAAAGTCAATGAAAATGACCTAAAAAGCAACACCAATAATCAAATATCTAAAATTTAATTTCCAAATTATACACCTTGACATTTTTCCCTCTAAAGTTATTTTAGGCTGACTCTGTGGTAGCGTAACCTTTGAACAATTAAAACTTTGATCTGCACAATTTACTTGTAAAACGGTAATGTAAGCTTTACTAATGTGCAAAACTCTGGCAATCACAACAGAACTGGAGTCTACTATACTGCAGTAGCTGTTACCTTATCACCTTCAGAAAATATGATGCCATCCACAGCTCTTTTCCAAGAGATTTCTGGAACAGGTTCTCCTTCTGCTTCACAGATGAGTGTGACATGACCATTCTCATATGTAGTCTCATTTTTAAGCTGTATTATGTGAGGCTGTACTGTAAAAAAGGTATACATTACTCAATTGGCACTGGAGTAAAAGCATCATTATTCACACTGAAAATCCATGATAAGCCCTGAAATACACATTAGCGCAATATATGATGACTTTGTGGCAGTTATACCTGCATGCTTTGCTTTATAGGAGAAACAAGAGCTGCAAAGAATGGAATAAAAAAGTGTTAGAAAGTAATACTCATATATTATCATTTTAAAAATAATTCGTGCCAGACATGGTAGCGCATGGCCATAATCCCAGTTCTCAGAAGGCTGAGGCATGAGAATCATTGTGAGTTTGAAGCCAGTTGTGGCTGCATAGTGAGTTCAAGGTCAGTCTGAACTACATATTGAGATCCTGTCTCAGAAGGAAAGAAAGAAAGAAAGAAAGAAAGAAAGAAAGAAAGAAAGAAAGAAAGAAAGAAAGAAAAAAAGAAAGAGAAAAAAGTAATCAGAAATCTCTTAGAAACAACATAAAAATTACATTTCATTTGAAATTTTTTCAATTAATAGTTACCTTATTTTATTTCTCTATTAAAGCTACAAAGTTAAAATTTCCTTGTATACCCACATGTGTATGTATGTGCACAAACACACATACATATAAACACATATGTATTATACATGTATATGGCATCTATTTAATGATTGCCTCTTATTTTTAATGAGTTTCACCAGATAAAACGTGTTTAGAATATTTGAAATATATAGATTTGAAACTAATTACGATTTTAAATATATATATGTACACATATTATTACATTTATTTTTGTTTTATTTTCCCTTAATTTTCCTTAGCAATGTATCAAATAAATTGTTTATTTATTATAACTTCTATGAAATAGCATTATGTATACTAATTAAAACTACCTGAATAGGAAAAATGTCTCTCCATATGTTTGTATTGACAGAGCTTTATTTTTTCAACACTGTCTTGTCTGCATTTCTTAGCTATTTATTTGTTAACATATAAAATGACTAAAAGTCTGAAAGCCATCATATGTGATTGCAGTACAAATTTAAAGTTTAAATATTTTGATATAAATAATCAAGAATACAAATAAACTGTTCTTAATCTCAGAAAATAATATTCATCATACTAGAAATATGCCACAGAGTTCTCAAAACTATAGTATTTATCCCATATGTGTGTGTGTGTGCATGCATTATTTTGTGACAAAAAATTTTTCATTATGCTAAAAAAACTGACTACAATTATTAAAGGTAATATTTTATAGATTTTTTTTATTTGAAAGGGTGAAAGTATCACAGTGTCTTCAATTTATGTATTTTCTTCATTTACTGGCATCTTAATAAAAATAGAAGTAACTGTATACTATTTCATATAGGCTCACAGAAGTAGACTGTGAACATTATCCTTTGTAATTAAATCACAAACTACCATTTCTTATTTTTTTCATGCACAGTAGAATTTAGTCTACTACATTTTTTCAAGTAGGAAAAACTATTAGAACAAGTTGAAGACTGTCCTTAATTTCTGACAGTCCAGATTATTTACCCTTCCCTCTACTTGAATTTTATCTCCAGGCTCTTACTTTTGTCTACTTCTTTTAATTAAAGACGATTGTGTAAAATGTACCAGTCAATTACACCCATTCCAGGAACACTTCAAAATAATAATCCTCTTTATAATTTTACCCAATTTCATATTCTTCTGAGAATATATTATTAAAATGTTATTTTAAAATTTTAATAGATCCTGACACACTGCTTCTCGCACTACACTAGAATATAAACATAAAAATTTCTCTGGTTCAGAAAAATGTTTCCATTACCACAACCACAGAACATACCAGCAAAGGGTGGTTCCACTATGTAGTGCCACTCACCTTGTGGTCAATGTTTGGGAGTACCTCTAGACCAGCCACTACAAGCATGAGCATTTATAGTTCCATAAATTTCACTGCCCTTCCTCTTCCCTTTCTCTACTCTTAAATCATTTCGAGAATTTATCCTGTAGACCTAACCATCTTTCCCACTCCCAGGGCTTGTGTTTAGATAGACCTTTTGGAGGGGATTAGAGCATGGGGCTACTCTACTTATCATTGGTTAAGTGCATTGATAAGGACACCGATGAGTTCAGAGCTGACTATGCAATTCAGGGAGGATCAGGGTTGGAAGAGGTAGCTTACTAGGGGCATGAACTGTCCCTGGCACCTCCACTCTCTCTGCTTCCTGCTCTCTATGATATATGAGAAGCTTTCCTCCACTAGGCCTTCCACCATGCTGGTTCTGTCTTGGGGATGAACTGAACCAGAAAAAACTGATGGGCAAAATAAACCTTTCCTCCTTTAAAGTTTTACTTTGTCCCATAAAGGGGAAATTAATAGAGAAAATGGGTGTCAAGAGTGGGATCATTGATGTGACTGTAGTAGAAGATGTGTTTCAGAAAATTTTGGAACTGAATTGTGCTAGAAGTTTGGATAGTTTTGGAAATATGAACTAGAGAATCCTTGGAAAGATATAACAAGTTCACTGCATGGCTCTCTTTGGAGCTCAGGAGACCAAAATTGTGATAAGAATGTAAATAGTAAAGGGAAGATCAAGGAGATTTCAGTTGAGATCAAGTACTCCATTGACAGTAGAACTAAAGGCAATGCATGCTATGTTTTGGCTGAAAATTTATCCACATTTTTGCTCATGCTCTGAGACTTTGCAGGAAAATGAGATTAAGAATAGTGGACTAACTAAACTGGTTGAAGGATTTTTAAAGCAGCCCAAAGTTCTGGTTGTGTATGGGGACTTTGCACACTTTTTAGCCTGATTTATAGTGACAAACAGGAGCAAAAAGAGTCCAAACGTGAAAAATTTGCAGTTTTATAGAGAAGAATCACTTGTAATTTGGAGCATCAGAATGCATAGTTGATGAAAAGATTAGCATTGAGAAGCAGCAATAAAAATAAAGACAGTAGGAAAGATTGATTGAAGGCATCTCAGGACTTGGTGAGACATAATTCTCTGAAGGCTCAAGGACTTTAAGAGCATAAACCTAGTCAAAACACTTATCTATGAACTTTCAGGACCATAGATGAAGTGCTTCCTAGAGTTCAGCCATCTGGAGTGCAACCACCCAAGCACACAGAAGCTGCTCCAGGCATAACTGCAGGGGGTCAGGCTACTTCTGCAGAAGTAGAACATGATGTTATTCATGTGCTTCTGGTTTTGCAGTAATGTAGAATGCAAATGGTTTAGGGACATCAAGGCGTCCATCTCTACTTCAAGAGAGGCAAAATGGACAACCGAGCATAATGTGTGATACGGTCACAGTACCTGCCAGGTGCCCCTGACAGGGTGATGTATGAAGCTATGAGACTGAAGCTGAAGGTGCAATGAAGACCCCAGAGGACTAAATATGCCGTGAAGATGGAATGTCTTCTAAGGACAGCATGAGCAGTAATCAGAACCAGGAGAAAGGACATGTGAGATTCAACAGGCAGTGCTGTAGAGGGGGGACTGCTGGCACCATTTAGAGCTAACATCTCACTACAACCTGTTCTGGGAACAGGAAAGAGAATGACAGGATTTAATATTTACCCTGTTGGGTTTTGGTCTTGCTTTGGTTCAGTATTTATCTATGCCCCTGTGTCTCCCATTTGCATCAGAAATACTTAGCCTGTGTCGCTGTATGTTGAAGTCCTTGGATTTCTGCTGTTTAGAATTATTTTTATACTAGCTCACAGACAAGAGTTTCTCATGAGTTTCAGAGAACCCATTGGACATGGACTTTTCTCTAATGCTGTAATTGTTAGGACTTTGGCAACTCTAAGAGATTAAATAAATAAATTTTATTTAATGAGATGGGCATGAGACCTCTGGGGACCTGGAGTGGAACGTTATGATTCAGATCCAAAATATCCCCCAGATTCAGAAGTGAAGCTTTCGGAAGGTGACTGGATCCTGTGATCACTGACTCAGAAGTCAATCAGTCCACTGATATGATTATAACCCTCTATGCTGTTCAGAAGTGTGACTGGTTGGAAGAGATTGGACACTAGGCAGGTGACCTGTAAGGTGCATTTTTATCCCTAGCTCCTGTCCTCTCTGCTTTCTCTCCTGCATGACAGGAGAAATTTCCCTCCTGCAAGCTCTTCTATCATGATCTTACTGCCTTGGAAGCAACTGACAATGGTCTCTGCCTGCTGAAATGCAGCCAAAATAAGCCTCTCCTCCTTTAAGCTGTGAGTGTCAGGAATTTTGTCCAAGCAGCAGAAAAGTGACTAATACAATGACAATCTTTTAAAAAAGGAAAAAATACACTAAATATTAGCAATGTATATAATTGCCATCATCATACTTTTTAAAGAGGAAAATCATATTAGTATCAATTAGCAAATTCTTGTTGCAAGCATAATGGAAACTATGTCACTAATTTTCTTAAAAAATATAAATTTTCTAAGGTCTGTAAGTTTACCCAAATTATATATCTTTTGTGAAATATGAAATTATAGTTAATTTTAATAAAAAAGGGAAAAGTTAAAGACTTTGTTTCTAAATTATATCATATAGTTATATAGAGGGATATTAAACTGAATCTACTATGTATCATTTAAAAATTTATAAGAATCAAATTTTATGTAGATATAAAAAATTACAGATTGCACTAGCTGTAGGTTATATATTTTTTTCAGCTTCAGTCATAAGACACCTAAAATCACTAGAGGTTTACGTGTATAATTTCATGTAATTCTCAATATAATTTTTATAGGTAGCTGAAAAAATGTGTTTCAGAAATGAAGCTGAAGTTTAATGCTAGGAATTAAAAAAAAAATTAAAAATAGCAGAGTATAAATGAACACAAACTTTTCTCTAGGCTTGGAAATTTAACCACTGTGCTAGAACACTTACCAAAGACCTGGAGGAAAGCCTGTTTTTCATCTTCTCCTGCCTTATTTGTTGCCCTACAAACATAAGGTCCACCATCACTATTGATTATGTTCCTGACGGTGAGTTCTGTATTGCTTCCTTTCAATATGTACTTCTCGTTTTCTTCAATGATCTTGCCATTTCTAAAAAGCAAAAAGTGGTTGTCATGATCTGACTTTGTAGCTCAGGAGACCATACCAACTGTTTAATCTACACATTTTAATTATTTCATTAATAGCAATTGCTGTATAATATATTTTCACTAGCTCAGAAATTTAATTGATAAATATCAAAATTATGTTCAAACATTGTTTTGACTTTAGAGGCAATAATATCATTTGTTAGCTGTTAAAATTTTGACACTTGTCAGGTAAATAAAATTTACATTGGTTTAATGTGTGCTTTCATTATTTGTTTTTCTTGCTCATTTTTTCCACTTGCACTTTAACTCAAAATAAATTTATGAAAGATACTTATATTTTTACCTTGGAACATATTGGAAATAATCTCTATGGGATCATCCTTTAAAAAAATTTAAAATTAAATACAACATAAATACCTCATAAATTTATGCAGAATGGATATACTGACAATGAAAGTGTCGATGATAGAATTATGTTAGAATGCAACTAATTAAAGAAATTGAGATTAATATCATCAATAAATGAAGAGAAAATTTTATTTCTTGCTATATATAAATAACAAATATTTTCCAAGTATCCTGAAATAGATTCTAATGTAACTGTTACAATTATAATATATATCACATTAAAACAGTGGCTTTTTGCATTTCCTACTCTATACTACAGTAAAAATACTTTACATACAGAAAAATCTGAACTATTTCTAAAACTGCCCTTAGTAATTACAAAATCTTCTAATACCTTTTCTTCATTTCTCTTTACTAACCAAGTCTTCCTTTTCTGTGTTCTCTTCTTTCATCCTTCTTAGCTATCCTCCTGTACTTTTTTGCTAGTAATAGTTTGGGTGACTTAGTTGGTCTTAAGACTTACTAAATAAAGTACCTAGGACTTATCCTTCTTGTCATGCAAATTTGCTTTTCATATGCTTCAATTTAAAGAAAAATCTTTAAAAGTTGTATTAAAAGCCTCTTTCTTAGAATTAAAGAGAACATTTTTCTAATGCATCATAAAATTTTCCTAGTAAATTTTGGTTCCATTTTCAAGAAAACACTGAAACACATTCTCATAACACAGCAATTCTTAATTTTCCTATGCCTCAACATATGTTTTCCTAGTGTCTAATGACATCTCTCAATATATCACGACGCAAGAAGTAATTCATAAGAGAACTAAAGAATTGGAAAGTTAGGGATTTTGAAATAATAACAACAACGTGTATCTATTACCCTTTAGTTATGTATTTTTTCAAATATTTACTAATCTAAAATTTATAACAAATATAAAACAATAGTATTGTAAGGTATTTATCTAATATTTACTGTATAGATACGGCCTTCACCACAAATAGAGATGTAATAGATTTTCTTAGTGTTTTCTATGGAATTATTCATTTGTTCCATAACAATGATGTGATACTAACAACACACTTGAAGTTTTGGTTATTTACATATCGAGAATCGACAAAATTCACGGAATTAATGGACTGACACTAGATTTCTAAGTATTTTCACTTATATAAAAATTGAATGGAAAGGAATGTCGACATACTGAGATAACTGCTTGTATTTTCACACTGATTTATATGTCACTGACTTTTCCTGATTCTCTATGTGAAAATTTTGCATAACTCATCTTTTTTTTTTTTTTAATCCCTGAATTATCTTCTTTCCTGGGGTTATGTTCTCAGTTGGTCAAATTCCAACTTTGACTCTCTAACCATCATGGAGACTACATTTGAAGAGAAGACCTCTAAGGGGACAATTAACTAAGGTTTAAGGAAGTCTTATCAGTGAGACCTTCCTCTGATGGGTTTAGTGTCCTTAAAGAACAGAGAAATACACAAGACATTTCTTTCTCAGCGTTGGCACTCAGGGGAAAGACCAGGTGGGGTTAAAGTGAGAAGATGGGCTTCTGCAACCGAAGAAGGGAGGCCTTGTTGGCACGTTGATGTAGGATAACCAACCTCCAGAGTTGTGGAAAATATATTTCTGTTGTTCAAGCCATCCAGTCTATGATGCTTTGTTATAGCAAACTAAGGTCACTAAAACAATGACTTCATCAACATTACGTGGCAATATCTCTGTGCAGCAGACACTCTGGATCTTTCTTTGAGGTCTGCTGACCTACACTCCCTAATGCTTACAGCGACTTTGTCTTTTTTCCACAAATATGGAATGTATATACATACAAAGAAGAGAAAATAGAAATTTCCTTTTAGAACTAACTTATCCAAAGGTCTATCTGTCTACTTTCCAATCTTCTGCAAAAGGAAGGGGATCAAATGATGGAGGAAGGAGGAGAGGAAGGAGTGAGGAAGGGCATGGAAAAGGACTAAGATGTACTATGTCCATGCACCAATTCCCCAAGGGAGAAGAGACTCGTATGTACTACCAAGCCATACTAATAAAAAAATTTTAGACCAGACATTGACCTTTTCCAATAATTATCATAACCACTCAGTTCCAATCTCTTAGTATATATTTAAGATCCAGAAAATAAAACAACTATTTGGGATTAAATAAATTATTATTCCACACAACCAAGGAATGAAAGTAATGACATATAAAGGGATGAAAAATTATACATATAGTCTTATATTATCCTGTAATTAATTCATTCCAGCCCTTATAATTATATTTCCAGTTATATAACAAAATAATTGTAATCAAATGTAAAATCTAAAAATAATCTAAGCAGAAAATAAATCACTCTGGAAATATGAAATTATTAAAATAACATTTTACAATAATATCTGTTCACTGTAAGGAATGTTTCAAGAGGTTTTCTGTGATACGATCAGATTCAATATTGATTGTTAAAGATCTACTCTAGTAAACCAGGGGTCTTTGAAATATATAATTATTTCCTGCAGTCATTATGTTAATGTTAACATGTAATCTCATTAAGAACATCAAAACAACAAACTAATGTTGCAAGGAACAATTGCAAACACCTCAGTTAGAGATATATCCCATTTATTCCTACAAGATATATTAGATGGATAAAAAATTGAAGATATCAGTAAATGGTCAGATAGAAAGAAATTAAAAATAACTTTTAGATTTTAATTGTCCTTAAAATATTTTTGAAAGACTAATCCTTATTACAGCCACCTTTGTGCACTTGATATGTATTTTACTAATAGTTTTGTTGTGATTTTTCTTGCATATTATGAATTTTGAAGTATAGATATTCCTTATATAATGAGTTACTTGTTTAATGAACTGTCTAGACTTATGAGAGAGGCTCATGGTTCATATTTAAAACCTCTGCTCAAATGTATGACCCATACATTCTTTTGCTTGTACAGTTCTGTACATCTTGGCTATAGAGCATCAATGTCTTTTCTGTATAGTACACTTTGTATAGTATGATATTTTTTGCTAATTATTTTGCAAAGTACAGTACTATTATTTTACTTTCTGTTATATATTTCAGTACTGCAGGGAAAAGTTAAACGAATAAAAGCAAAGTCATTAGGTTAGAATTTCCTTTGATCACTTTTTTTGTCTGAATATTACAATGTATGCACTATACACAATTCTTCATTGAGAGAAAAATTCATCCAACGATCTAGTTGCAGGCATGGATCCTTGAAGTTAAATGAGGAATATCTGTATGTAACTAATGGTAAAATGTTTGTATCCCATGTTACTAAATTGTATTACTAAAGCATATGTACAAAATCATCCAGTTTTAAATTTTAGTACCTCCAATTTAGTTGCTTGATCCACAATGTAAAAGAATTGAGTACTTTAACACATGCTTGATGTTAGTAGAAAGCAAAGAGCATTTTAAAATTCTAAACACAAATAAGTGTAAGTTAATTCTCAACAAATAGATGTAAAAAACAAACTGAACTCATTTGATAAGGGGAAATTTTGAAAAATGACTAATTAAATCCATGACATTTTATGTTCACATAATTAGATTTTTCTATAATTTAGTACATGAATAGAGAAATAGATGATGCAATTAATTGTAGTCTAATAAAATGAGTCTACACACGTACAACAATAATGATGGGAAAATTAGGATTTCAATTGGAAGACATGCTGAGGCAGTAGCAATAAAATGACTGAAACAGATACAGGGAACCTGGCATCATTTTGTCAGAGACATGTGTATATAAACAGCATAGGACCTATTCATCTACTTTTCACTGAGGGCTGGGGATATAGCTCAGTGCATAAGCACCTGCCTGGCAAATGCAAGGTCCTGAGTTCGATTCCAAGTAAAAAAAATAAAAAAAACATACTTTTCCACTGAGAAAATTAGAACACGATCACACTGTGGACCTATTCAGCTATTGAATGCAACCAACTTACCTTGAAAACAAGAGCTCAGTGTTCTTCCACGAAACTAAAAATGACAGTTTGCTTCTTGACAAAATGATTAAGATGCCAAATGTTATTTCTGATCACAAGCAACAGGCAGATGGATGTGGATGTTTAGTTTACCTGGACCAGAAGATGGTGGGCTCTGGGGAGCCCGAGGCTCTGCAGGACAAAGTCATCTCTTCTCCTCGCTCAGCTGTGGCATTAAAGGACTTCTGAGGCATTGTGATTGCTGGCGGCACTGAAGGAAAATAAATAGAGATGAACATGCTTTCAGCAACACTATTTTGAGATCTTATTTTTGTCACTTTTATTGTGCTAAGCTTAATAACTTGACAGTCATTTCTAGGTTCATAGTAAAGTATCTTTAGTGTCTCCGATATGGTCTCTTATGTGTAATAGTTAGAAGAATTCATTGTGATGTTATAATACTATCTTAATCTATTCAACTAAACAGTGAACTATATATTTTTGCACACATATATACTTTTTAATGAAATATGTCTTACATAAAAGCAATATCACCCGGGTTTAATCAATGCCAAGATCTATCTTGAGCATAAATGGATTTCCTATTTGGGTCCTTATTGGTATATGCAATACCATAAGCAATCAATCACTGCTTCAAGACAGGGCTTTCAAATGAGTTGTCAAGCTGTAATGTACTTTCTGATTAACTACACTTAATTTCTTCAAACAACTATAAAGCATTTTATGAAGAGAAACTGCTTAAACTATGGAGAGTCTGAAAATAGATTTTCACAAACAATTCAATTTTAAAATTAAGCTTCCCCAATTTCTAACTAATTACATTGCAGAAAGTGAATATGCTGCACATTTTTGACATGTTGGAACTGTTACTGAAATGCACTGTTTGCAATAAACTAGTCTCTAGTTTCCATAACCAAAACAAAATTTCAAAGTGAAGCATAAATTACACTCAGTGAACACTTTCATGATATTAATTTGAATACAGCAATGTAATATTCCTATAATTAAATTTCTAAATAGATTTATTGTTTACATATTAAAAAAATGAGGAGGCAGGCATTTATAACTGTAATTATAATTAAATATCTTTATAATAGCATTCAAGTCTGCATTGGTGCTGCATTATTGCATCGATGGTGGGAAAAATATCCTGACGTGTATCTTAGTAATTAATTACAATTTATTTGGTTTCTACCTTCACGAATTCAGATATACGGAGCATAATCTGACATGCTGTCTCTAAGATAACATAGTAATTACCACTTTTATAAGGGATGGACTTTTTCAGATACGAACTCTTAATTTTAAGTGCACTATCATTTGTCTTTCTGTGCATAATTCTCTTTACCTTATAATTATAGAAAAAAAATTTAGTCAAAATTCACTGCTCTGCCTTTTGTTATCTCTAAGTGCAACTGAAAAAGCACTAATGTTATTTTCACAATAATGATAAAGGTCTATAACACACTAGAGAATTACAATAAAATGAATTCTTTTATTTAAATTAAGTTTATTGTACAGTTTAGATATACCTGAGGATCACATTCATCATAGGGAACTTGTACCTGTATCTCATATATCTTGATTCTTCTTTTTTCCCATTGTCCTCCTCTATCTTCAAGCATTTTCCCCCTCCTTATTTACAAACCTTTATTTCCATTTTGTCCTTTTTCCCCATTTTTGCTTTTTCCTCCCAGTTCCTGTTTAACTCCTCTTTCACACACTTTAATCTAAATTCTTCCTACGTTTAAGTATTTTTAAACAGGAATATTTTCAAATTGAGAACCAAGGGCTCCAGTGCCTGCTCCGGTAATACTCCTAACTGAAAAGTTTATGTAATCTTTATTACACTCTTCTTGTCTATAAAGTAAACTGGCCAGGCGGTAAGATCTCTAAAAATTAAAAATCTTAATCTTTATGTTGTACATTACAATGAAAAATCTGTTCTGACTTTTCAGTGTAGTTTAACATAATAGTATCCATGGTGTATTTGCACACAGCACTTTTACAAATAATTCCTAAACTATTTTGAAAAATGATCTTATAAAAATCTGAGGAGGAACTGGATGTGGTGGAACATATTTGCAATGCCAGCACCATGGGTGCCTGACAGAAAGATCATGAAGGAATACAAGTTTAGACAGGGCAATTTAGTGTAATCCTGTCAATACTACCACTAGTACGACTACTACTGCTACTACTACTGCTATTAATGCTTGCAGAATTATTATTATGTTATTATTATATTATCATTATACCTATTTTTATTATTATTATTATTATCATTATTATTGTTATTATTATAGAAACGGTTTGGGATTAGCTCAGTTCAAAGGGATGCTGGGGTTCAATCCCCATTATCACAAAAGATAAAATTTGAGGTGTGTTTTTATAATAGATCAGATGCCAAGATGCTTAGGACTTTTGTTACCTAATATTTTGGAATATACAGAGCATTTTTGTGTACAAATTGCTACACTGGTTCTGAATTTCTAATTGAGTTGGAATAAAATAATTTAAAGGGCACTGCAATTATCTTGCTTTCAAATTTCTTGTCCTCACATAAATCCTACAGCTACTCTATTTGACTTAGTAAAAATAATTTATTTCACATTTCACTGCATCTGAAACATGTAGTTTTAGTACTTACACACAGACTTTTATTCTGTAGATACTAAGTAATCAACACTTTCTGGTAAGTTTCTATTTTTACTACTTATCTTTTTAAAAGCAATATGTGTGGGGTGTATGTGTGTGTAGAAGTCGGTGGGTAACTGCCATGAAAATGAAAGCTCTGTCCTGCCTTAGATTATCATTTCCCTCACTGGATGCTTAAGAATCCCAGAACAACATCAATTAAACAGATTGATTTTTATTTCATCAACAATGGATGCAACTATTTTATATGACATTGGAGTCCGATGAGAATTTCTTCAACCTCTTCCCTTCAAATATTTCTCAGAAGTGGGAAAACATGAGAATTATCATGGAGTACCTATGTATGTCACAGCTTGTACAGTTCAGATTAATCAGCATTCATTAACTCACCCATATTTATCCAGCCTAAGCATGACAAACCTCACTGTAAAATAGTCAAAAAGGCTATTCTTCTAATATATATTGCTAAGTACATTCATATGTGGACCGTTCATGAATTAGAGGTCTGCTAAATTAAAATTTACAATCCCTTATTGTTAGTAGTTATTTCTTTTTTCTTTCAAGCCATTAGGAAACCACATAAATGATCTCAGTCCCTTATCAAGAGATTAAACAGATCAGGTTAATTCTAAAGTAGTTTTGTATTCTAATATCCCATATTGGTATTTTCAGTCTATATTTGCAAAGTAAATTCATTTATTTCCTCAAAATTTTCCATACATTCATAACACATGATTCTTTCCATTGTACATAAACATTGGATATATTAAAATGTGAAACAATTCATAAAAGACATTTTCAAATCAGTTCATGTTTCTCAAGGATGTTACAAATCTAGAATTTTTTAGTAAATTCTAAGAATTTCTCTTTGATATGGAATCACGTATCTTGTGTTGCAACAACTTAAATCAGTGGCAAGATTTCATATACTTAATTTCTCATTTAACAGAGTAAACAAGAATTGGTATTTTCATATTATATAGAGTCTTTATACAATAAAATACTTGCACTTATGGAGAATAGTTTCTTATCATGACTTTAGTCAAGTGATTTATTATTTTCTAAGATCCTATTAGATATCAAAGAGATAATATTTGCATTTTTCTTCCCCATTTTGATATTGTTTGCTTTGTGCTTAAATGCTGCATTATGCTATAATATTATCTAACACACTTCTGTTTCCATTAATGTGACTGTAGTTAACAGTGGTTGACTGTAGTTTCCATTTTTGATTTATAAAAATAGTCAATTAAAGTAATTTAAGGCCAATATTTCTTTGGAGCTCAAAGGCAAATAAAACAACACATACAACGTATAAAATCATGACATAAAGAAAGCAAAGTATTTAATTTTATTTTAAACAAAAGACAAGATCATTAGTTATAACAAACTAAGCATATATTATCAGCTATTTTTATTTTTTTATCAACTATTTTGAAATAAATATAGTTGAGTTGTCTCCATTCTGTGGTATGTGCATTAGGCTACAAAACCTCATCAACATTTCCATAGGTACTTGATTAAAAACTGGTAACAAATACAGATACATTTACACATATTAATTACTGACTTGTGAAAACCGTGAGTTTTGCTTGATACTATCAGATTAGAAGATAGTAAATGTCCGTTGTGTTGGTTTATAAAAACAAACAGTTTAAGGAAAAGATTCCATTGGCATTATTTTTTATTTAATTATTTATTATTTATAGAGACAGGGTCTCATGATGCAGTTCAGGCTGATCTTGAACTCATGATATAGCCAGGCTGGCCTTGAACTCATGGTAATCCTCCTGTCTCAGACTCATCAGTATTGGGTTGCAAGATATTCCATTGTTCATGACCCCTATCATAAGAGGAGTCAATAATAATCGAATTACTTTTGCCTTCAGTAGACAATAAGAATAAAAACAAAAAGATAATAGTAACTGGTGTTTTGTATTTCATAATTTTTCTTTCAAAAATGAGTAAGAACTTTTTGTTCTTTTAAATTGACTTAAAACACATCACATTTACAGGCTCAAAATAAAATGAAATAGAAAGTTAGACACTCAGATTTTGATGTCATTCCTTTCCCCTTTAATTACTTTTAATAATTATTTGTTTTCAAACTAATATTAACTCACATTCTGATGCTTCCTTCTTCCATTATCAAAATGTCTTACTATTTTTCCAATCTAAAAACATACGTATGATATATACTTATACCAAATGTAAAGAATTTCCTCACTCTTGATCAAATGCACAATATAGCAGACTTTTGAATACACTGTTATGCATGTTTTAAGTCACCTGACCAAATACAGCCATATATATTAATTACAGCATTAATCAATTATAATACATTCCTCAAGTAAATATAACTGTATTTACTTGCTGAGCAGTGAAGTATATAATTTTAAAAAGTAAATAAATATACCATATTGACTAAAAAGACTAAATAGCATTTCAAATTAACTTCAGTAGATCAAAATTATTCCATTTATTTATTTCTTTTTGGTGGTTCTGGAGATCACACAACACTAGAGAAGCGCTTCACCACTGAGCTACAACCATAATCCTCACGACGTCATTATAGCAATGACAAATTATTTT